TGATCATGTGATATGGTAAACGGCCAATCACTCTGCCTTTTACTACGTGATCAGCTGTGTCCAATGACACAGCAGATCACTGGGTAAATACAGTTGCCGATTACTGGCTGCACTTTCCTCACGCTGTCACATCATGAGGAAAGTACTGCTGAGAACTGGCAATTGTCAGCGAAGGGATTGGCATTGATGATCAGTGCCCAGCAGTGCTGCCTATCAGTGCCGGCTCATCAGTGCCGGCTCATCAGTGCTGCCTCTATCAATGCCGCCTATCAGTGCTGCCTATCCATGCCACCTTAGTGCCCATCAGTGCTGCCTATCAGTACAGCCTCATCAACGTACATCAGTGATGGAGAAAAATTACCTGTTTGCAAAAGTTTAAAATAGAAACAAAGAAAAACTTTTTTTTTTAATTTTTTGCTCTTTTTTTGCTTATAGCGCAAACAATATTTTTCATAAGAAATTCTATCCATCTATGGCCAGTTTTAGTACTATCTGCTATCACTCCGTTTTCTTATTTGTTACATCTCCACATTATTTGTGGGTGATTTTTTTTTTTGTACTGTTTTTTTTTACATAATTTTTTTTTTTTTTTTAGCATTAGGCACACTGTTGGTATTGCAGCTGCCGTCATTTTTTATTTGATGGTGTTGACTTTCAGAGAAATAAAATGAATTGTATGTGTAAATGTCTAGCTGTTTTATTAGTTTTCTCTAGGTTATTTCTAGTGTACACAGTCCATAACAGGCAGCATATCTGAAGGTTTACAAACACAGCTTCTTTTGTTACTGTCCCCAGGAGTTAATGAAAGGGTTACCACTAGAGAGATGTTCATTGTTAGAGACTGTTTACTGTTGGCCTTGACAACAGATACAACTTTGCTGGGTTCTGATATAACTCCTTTCAAATACTTTTTTTTTTCTCATGAAGAAGCAGAGTTTTCTAAGTTTTCTGCAGTGAAAAGTTGAAGAAATGGATGAGAGGCACTGGTGGATAGCAGGCAAAGTGCAGCAGGCTTTCCACACTGCAGGACAGGACAGTTCCACAGCATTGGAAGCCTTCATATTAGAAGCCAACAATCTGCAACTTATCAACAGCTTTCTCCAGGGTCTGTATATCATACTAAATGATTATTCCTAAGATCTGATATTGTTCATGTCGCAGCGAACTAAAATAGTATAAGAGCTTGTTGCATAACATGCATTGCTGCTGCATCTGGGAGATATTGATTTTAAATTGAAAACATAAAAAAACCTAGATCCATAAAAATTCTCCTTGTTTAGACTAATAGAAAGAATTTCTTTTTCTTACTGATTATGTTTACACATTTCAAAAGTATACATTCTTTTAAAAGGTTAATGCAATGATTATCAGCTTTAGGCTGAACACGCACCAATGTTTTTAGTATGCTGTATATACAGAATACACACCGCTGTGCTGCAGTTGATACATACATATTTAACAGGAAAAATGTGTATTAGAGAAATGTTTACAAAATTAGAGACAGTACACTAACAATGTTAAATTTACAATTAGAGTTTATCTAAATATGAAAAAAAAAAATTCATATTTTTCAGACTTCAAATCTTTAAATGTGGTGGCTGCTGTAGTTTTTTTTTCTCAGGCTTGTTTTGTCTTCATTTTCACCTGGTGATTTGTCAGATAACACACTTACTATCTTGGGTTGACGCCTCTATCTGTGGAGGAGCAACAGAGACACCTTTGGACAGCAGCATTGTCTGCAGAGGGTAGTGTTAGATTGCCTAGTAGATTCTGGTGTCAGGTCCCCCTCTTAGTCCAAAAAACTTGCAATCAGCCTCCTCCTTTGATGACATCACCACTCTCCAGAATACCTGGCTCCCTCAGGAGCTCAGAAGAAAGCAAAGGAGGCAATTTAGATGGACTTTTCATAAGTGCCTAACAAGTTGAAGTGGAAGTAGTATTTTCTTGTACCTACAGGTAAGCCTATAATAAAGCTTCCCTGTAGGTACAGTAAATATCTACTAAACTTGCATGGATAAGTAGATATTCACACTGATTGCAGCTGGTGACATCACTGGTGTATGCACTCTGAAGGGACAGCATGCCTGTGCCACCTTTTCAGAGCTCCGTGCCATGGCCAAAACTCCTGTGTGCATGCGAGGGAGTGATGTCATCGCAGCTCAACCAGTCAGATGACCGGAGCACGCGAACACGGAAGGAAGATCAAGTGAAGGTGGAAGCCCTGCCAGCAGTGAAAGCACGCCACTGGAGGGCTTTGTTCTAAGGTAAGTACTTCATAATGACTATTATTATTGACTATTGTAACTCCCTCCTCATTGGCCCACCTAATTGCAGGCTACCCCTTCTTCAGTATATCTTGAATGCTGCTGCCAGACTCATCCACCTTACTAACCGTTCCATATCTGCCATCCCTCTCTGCCAATCTCTCCATTGGCTTCCCATTGCCCAAGGAATAAAATTCAAAACATTAACAATAACATATACAACCATTTATAACTCTGCCCCAAATTACATCACCGATCTTGTTTCCAAATATCACCCAAATCGTCCTCTCCGCTCCTCCCACGACCTCCTGCTCTCTAGCTCCTTGGTCTCCTCTTCCGATGCTTGTCTCCAGGACTTCTCCACAGCCTCCCACATCCTCTGGAACTTTTTACCCCAATCTCTCCAACTATTGTCTACTATGCTCACTTTTAGGCGATCTCTGCAAACATATCTCTTCAGGGAAGCCTATCCTGCCTTCAGCTAATAACCAAATCTTCTATTTCTCTCATCAGTTCATCCCCCACAGTTATTACCTTTTGTACCACCAGCCCCTCCCTGTTAGATTATAAGCTCCAAGGAGCAGGGCCCTCTTAACCCTCTTGTATTGAACTGTATTGTTGCATGTTGCTGTATTGTCTCCCGTTATATTGTAAAGCGCTGAGCAACTGTTGGCGCTATATAAATCCTGTATAATAATAAGAATGTGCTAGTATGAGATGCATGCTAGCACATTATGCCATTGTCTTGCAGGGTTTATTACGCTTTAAAAAATTAACTCCAGCTAATGCTTTTTAAGTAGTTAAGAATACAGACGTTTTTCCTTTTGGGAAAAAGGTTTTATGTAAATGAACAAAAGCTGACCATTTTCACTGGTAAATGGTTTGCTTCAACCCTCTCATTGCCAATTTTGCTGGACAGCATTGTCTGTTAAAGGAAGTTGAAAAAAACAGACTTACTGACTGAACCACCAGGTGAAAATAAAATATAAAAAAAAAAAAAAAAGGAAGTCTAATGCAGCCGCCACAAGAACTAGCAAGCTGCAATATTAAAAAATTTTTGCTTTTGGATTTAGATATGGGGATTCCCGGCATGCTTGATTGGGTGGAAGGATTGGAAATCAGTGACACTGAGATTTCCAGAAGATCTTAATGACTTTTGTGAAAAATTAGAACTACAGACTTTAGATATGAAAGGATGGTCTGTTGGAGAACAAGAGAACATAAGAGTAGCAGAGGAGAAATGGCAAAGAGTTAGTAAAATGATATAGGTGGAGGGGAAGTGAGAGAGTAGCAGGGGGTGGAGGACCCAAAGGGGATGTTTCTTACTCCCTGTAATATGGGTTCCTTCCCCCCCTCCTTTTTTTTTTCTCGCGCCCCCTCTCCACCATGTTTCTCCCACCATGTCTGGCACCACGGCGGGCAGTAGGGAGACCAATCATGCTGCCAAGTCCGGACCTATATATGAGAGATCGGGGTCTGAAGGGGCATGCATGCTCAGAGTTTTACCCAGAAGAAGGAATCAACTGTGGCTGTGGATCACAGTTGATTCAAGGACCAAAAATAGGTCAGTGGGAATGGGGGGTGGGGGGGGAGAAGGAAGAAAGGGAAGGTCCTCTTACTCCAAAATATTGTTTACTTCAGCCCCTATAAATGATACAAAGAGGAAAATTGTTAAAATGAGAGGAAAAAATATGGTTAACTTTATGAAATATAATGTAAAAGGATTATATATACAAACGAAAAGACATAAGGTTTTAAGGGAAATAGGTCAACGATTGATAGAAGTGGTGTTTCTTCAGGAGACACATACCGTATTTTTCCCTCCATAAGACGCACCTGACCATAAGGCGCACCTAGGTTTTAGAGGCAGAAAACAAGATAAAAAATATTCTGAACCAATGGACTGCAGACATAGTACAGGAGATGACCAGAGACTGCAGACATAGTACAGGAGATGACTAGAGACTGCGGACACAGTACAGGAGATGACCAGAGACTGCGGACACAGTGCAGGAGATGACCAGAGATTGCGGACATAGTACAGGAGATGACCAGAGACTGCGGACATAGTACAGGAGATGACCAGAGACTGCGGACATAGTACAGGAGATGACCAGAGACTGCGGACATAGTACAGGAGATGACCAGAGATTGCGGACATAGTACAGGAGATGACCAGAGACTGCGGACATAGTACAGGAGATGACCAGGGACTGCAGACATAGTACAGGAGATGACCAGAGACTACAGACACAGTACAGGAGATGACCAGAGACTACAGACACAGTACAGGAGATGACCAGAGACTACAGACACAGTACAGGAGATGACCAGAGACTACGGACACAGTACAGGAGATGACCAGAGACTACGGACACAGTACAGGAGATGATCAGAGACTGCAGACACAGTACAGGAGATGACCAGAGACTGCGGACACAGTACAGGAGATGACCAGAGACTACGGACACAGTACAGGAGATGACCAGAGACTACAGACACAGTACAGGAGATGACCAGAGACTGCGGACACAGTACAAGAGATGACCAGAGACTACGGACACAGTACAGGAGATGACCAGAGACTGCAGACATAGTACAAGAGATGACCAGAGACTGTGGACACAGTACAGGAGATGACCAGAGACTGGGGACACAGTACAGGAGATGACCAGAGACTGCGGACACAGTACAGGAGATGACCAGAGACTGCGGACAGTACAGGGGATGACCAGAGACTGCGGACAGTATAGGGGATGACCAAGACACTGCGGACAGTACAGGGGATGACCAGAGACTGCGGACAGTACAAGAGATGACCAGAGACTGCGGACAGTGCAGGAGATGACCAAAGACTGCGGACAGTGCAGGGGATGACCAAAGACTGCGGACAGTGCAGGGGATGACCAGAGACTGCGGACAGTGCAGGAGATGACCAGAGACTGCGGACAGTGCAGGGGATGACCAAAGACTGCGGACAGTGCAGGAGATGACCAGAGACTGCGGACAGTGCAGGGGATGACCAGAGACTGCGGACAGTACAGGAGATGACCAGAGACTGCGGACAGTACAGGAAATGACCAGAGACTGCGGACAGTACAGGAAATGACTGCTGACCTTTGGGGAGGGAGGGGGAGTGGGTACCTGAATTTGACAGGTACCTGCTCCCACTTTCGCGGAGTTGTCCTCCCTTTAGTGTGGGCACCCGGCTGACAGCCGGGTGCCCAGTGCACATGCCCGAGAAGCGCTGCGCTTTGTGATTGGTCCGCCATTTTCTGGGACCTGTCATGTGTCCCAGAAGATGCCGTACCATTCACAAAGTGCAGCGCTACTCGCGCATGCGCACTGGGCACCTGGCTGTCAAGCCGAGAGCCCACACTAAAGAAGCTGGCACGGGAAGACTGCGCAGCTATGGAGCGAGGAACAGGTAAGGTCCCGCTGCAGAGCTGAGCGGCCAGCCCGGTATTCTGACACGACGGCTGTGGAAATACCGGACCGGCCACTCCATATTCGCTCCATAAGACGCACTGACATTTTCCTCCCTTTTTTGAGGGGAAAAAAGTGCATCTTATGGAGCGAAAAATACGGTATATCCCAGGACTTAAATATTGAGTTATACTCTAAATTCTTACCGACCTGGTATTATACGGACTCCCCAATAAAATGGGCAAAGGGAGTGGCGATAGGCTTGGAAAAAATATAAAATTTACTCTAGATGGAAAGATGGTACACCTAGCAGGCCACTTCTTATTTTTAAGAGGAAGTTTTCAGGGAAAAGAATGTACATTAGTAAATATATATTGTCCTACTAAAATCTGACGGTATACTTGAAAGGAATATTGACCAAACTTACAGATTTTGAAAGTGGTAGTGTGATTATGACGAGTCTAAAGAATATTAGAAAAAAGTTACAATAATGCCAGTTGATGGATGCTTGGAGGGTTGAACACCCCAAGGAAAGAAACTATGCCTTCTTCTCTGCGACGCATAAGATGTATTCAAGATTGGATTATATGTTGATCGAACAAAGACTCTTAGAGTCTCTGGTGAAAACTAATATAGAGGTAATGTCTATATTGGACCATTCTCCTGTCACAATGAGACTACAGTTCGGAAGGGAACAGAATAAAATAAATATGTGGCGATTAATTGAGACCATCTTACAAGACCCAGAAATGGAAAGTAGAGTAAAACAGGAAATAGTTAAATATTTTAAGATTAATGAGACTGTGGAGGAGTCTATTGCCATAGTTTGGGAAGCGCATAAAGCCTATATAAGGGGTATACTGATAGCAATAGGGGCGGAGATAAAGAAAGATCGTGGGAAAAGAATTAGGACTTTAACGGAAGAACTTCATCAGTTGGAACAATTACATAAAAAGAAGTTAAATACAGAGTTACAACAAGAGGCAGTATTAAAAAGAGAGGCGTTAAAAGACTTCATGGAATGAGAAACAAGGAAAACCTTTAACTTGGTCTCGAAGGAAAGAAATCGGTGGGGGAACAGACCAGAAAAATACTTAATGAGGAAGTTGAAGGAGAAGAAATCAAAAAACTTCATAGATTTTAAAAATGAAAAAGAAGAAATGTTTTTTTCAACCACCAATATAGCCTACACATTTCAGAGATTCTACAGTAGGCTATATGGGTTAGAAGTTAAAAACCAGAAGGAATCAGAAGAAGAGAAGAGAGAAAAGTCAGACGTATCTGAATGAGGCCAGTATACCTAGAGTGGATAAAGCCAGATTAACAGCTTTAGATAGCCCAATATTAATAGAAGTCAACATAGCATGAAAGGACAGAGCTGTAGGGAAGAGCCCAAGTCCCAATGAATTCACAGTGGGATACTACAAGAAGTTTAAAGAACAATTAGCACTTAAACTGTGCACTTATATGAACGCTCTGGGAGATGAGACAAAGATGAGGGAGGAGTCGTTACAGGCATCATGGTTATACCCAAGGAAGGGAAAGATTGGTCTCAGTGTACCAGTTACAGACCTATATCTCTGTTGAATACTGACACAAAATTGTATGCGAAGGTATTAGCAACAAGGATGAAAGAGTTGATGTCCAACTGGATAAACTTAGACCAAGTGGGTTTCATCCTAGGTAGAGAGGGTAAGGATAATGGCTTAAGAACACTGCTTATCCTACAAAAGGTTGACAGAGGAGAGGTACCAGGAATTATTCTGTCGATAAATGCTGAAAAAAGCTTTCGACAGAGTAGTTTGGGGTTTTATGTTTGATACGCTGAGAACATTAGGAATAGGGCCTAGAATGATGCAGTGGATAAAAGAGCGATATAGGAGTGCCTCAGTGGCAGCGATGGTACACGGCTCGTTATCCAAATTTTTTAAGATGCACAATGGAACTAGGCAGGGATGTCCCTTATCCCCGCTGTTGTTTGTGATCTCCCGAGAACCGCTACTAGCTACTGTTACAAATAGTATGGATGTCAAGGGAATGTGGATGGGGGATATTGAACATAAAGTGGCAGCATATGCAGATGATATGCTGTTTTATATAGCAAACCCCAGATTAACATTACCAAACCTAATCAGAAAATTGAAAGAATACAGAGAGTCATTTAACCTGAAAATCAATCCCTCGAAAAGTGAGATCTTAAATATAAATTTTCCAAAGATGGAGAAACAAATACTACAAAAAGAATTCCCTTTAAATGAAAAGAAAAAGAATTAAAGTATTTTGGAATAAAACCAACATCGCCTATGAAAAAAACTTATATCAGGTAAATTACATCCCGTTAATAAATGAGATAAAGGGTGAACTGGAGAATGCCTCCATGGGAAAGCTGTCCTGGATAGGTCGGATAAATATAATTAAGATGATAGTAGTACCAAAAGTTTTGTATAAATTTATTATGCTCCCAATATCTCTCCAGGGATCATATTTTAGGTTTCTTAAAAAAATGTGTGGAATAACAAAAAACCAAGGATTAAATACGACGTTTTATGCAATAACAAAAAAAAAATGGGATTAAATATGCCAGACCTTAAGAGATATTATAATTCAGTGATATTATCATGAATTGCAGATTGAATATATGACACACACGGGAGAAGTTGGGAAAAATGGAGAGTTCAATTAGTAAAGCACCATTATATAAGTATATTTGGATACCACAGGAATTTCGCACATGGGGTGAAGATACAAGTACTTTGACACAGAATGTATTTAGGATATGGGATGAAATGCATAAGCAGAAGGACTGGAAGTTTAATTCACTTTCAATCCGTTGGCGGGAACTGAGTCTTTTCCACCTGGAAATAACAATATTTCAGGGAAATGGATAATTGATAGAAATTCACGTTTAAAAGATATTGTGGATAAGAGGGTTTTATGTTCTTTACATGATTTGAAGCGTAAGAAGGGTATACTTTCTATAATAGATGAGTGGCTACGGTCAAATAAGACATTTTGTTGCAAAGCTCCCACAACCGCTAAGAACAAAGGAAGAAATGTACCCTTTAGAACAACTGTTGAGTAAAAATAGAATACAAAAACACACTACTTCCAGGATATATAGAATCCTTACTGAAATAGAGGGATTGGGATCCCCAAAGTTTTTGGAGAAGTGGGAATTGGAGCTTGGAACAAAATTGAACGAGCAACAAAAAAGTAAAATATTAAGTTTAACACATGGGGAAGTGAATATGAATGTAGCTGAAATTAATTATAAATGTCTGGAAAGATGGTATATTACACCTAATGTGATGCATAAACTAAGCCCAGAGGCCCCATCCCAGTGTTGGAAGGGATACGGGAGTTAGGGTACAATGGTACATATCTGGTGGGAGTGTCCCAAAATACAGCAGTTTTGGAGGAAAATATATACAAGCGATTCAGAAAATAAGTGTGGCGATGGACTTGTGGGTTTGCCTATTTTACAAATCAGAGCTTTCGGTGAAACAATATAAAAATATGATACTGTTTCATCTTTTAAATGTGGTCAAAAGTCTTATTCCTAAATACTGGCAAACAACAGAACCTCCAAAAGTAAAAGATTGGTTGGATAGAGTTGAATATATATACTGTATACAAGATGGAAGAATTGTATCAAATAGATGAGGACAAAATGGAAAAAGGTCTGGGAAGGATGGCATATTTTCAAAAAAACAAAAAGGTTTCTAGAAGTGGTTGGAATATAAAGGAATAAAAGTAAAGGAAAATAAATAGGAAGCTGGAGAAGACAGAAAGAAAGAGGGAAAAGACAAGGAGGGGAAGTAGTAAGATAGATTAACAAAAAAAAGAACTAGAAGTAAACGGAAGGACATAGAAGACAAGAGGAGGGGGGAGGGAGGGGTTGGAGGAAAAGGGGGTAAACGTGGGGATAGGGAATATATTTAAGTATAGATTTTTGTATTGAATGATGATGGTATGCAATGTATTTGTATTATATAAAAAAAATTAATAAAGATATAATTAAAAAAAAATAACAGTATTGTCAGTTTTCGATGGTAAAGTGTCAAAAGCATGCCAGTTACACAAGCTGAGTGGGGAATCCAATAGAATATAAAGTGACTTGTGTACCATCCACCAAGGGTAGCAATAGAAACATTTAAAGGCAGAGGGTAAAAGAGATGTGTAGCACCCTCCTAGTTTAGCTAGGGAGAGCTAGATCCTTATGGTTAGACAGGAGCTGTTAGCGGCTTAGATGTTATAGCCATAGGGACCAAATTGTGGTCAAGGCTGAGAGATTCTGCAGACCAGCCTCTCTGGAATTTCCCCCTGCTCTGAGGGTTTCGGAGGAGCGCCTTGGAGGCAGTGGGTGGATCTGAGGAGTGGCTGATTTCACTCTTGAAGGGTCCTAGCCAATCCCCAACAGAAGGCTTGGCAAGGGGCTGGACACTCTTAATAGTGTAGGAGCCTGCTCAGTAGCAGGAGTGTGAGAAGGGTGGTGGTGAGAGAGGAGTGTGGAGAGGAAGATGTAAGGCTGGAAGAGGAAGGCTGCCTAGTGGGATGGGGCCTGCCTGCGAGCCGGGAGCTGGAAAGGAGGAAAACTCGGGACTCATTGACCCCTGAGCAAGGACCACCTGTATGGCACTAAAGGAGCAGCCCAGCTGATAGGCCTGGTAGCAGCAGCCATCCCACAAGCAGAACAAGAGAGGATCTGAGTGAGTACACCTGCACCCCCTCAGTGGATAGGGGAAGAAGCACTTTAGTGGGAAACCAGATCATCCCCCTGCTAGTGACTGTTCATCTCATTTAAAGGAACAGGGGCCAGATCCCCT